CTAAGACCCCTCAAAAGTAAGCAGGTGTTATTATTCTTATTTAGAGTCAAAGAAATCTAGGATAGAGGGATTCCTTCATCTACATGATGTTGATTTTCAAGACCTTAAAAGGTGAATCACTTCAAGAACCACAGGCACCAAAAGAATTAAAGACTGCTTTAACCACATTTTAACATTTATTCTTGAAAAATCACAGTGAAGCATTCATTATCTTTCCCATTTTTTAAATAGGAAAATCAAATTTGAGAGGATTTAAAGGGCATGCTGTAGGAGACATAGCTAGTACAAAACTGGACCCAAAAGCTGGGTCTCCTGACATGAATCCCACATCCTGCCCATTATACCAGTTGTATATACAGCCCACATTTCTTTGTGGCTTTTCTTAGTGCAGAATTGGAGCCTGGCATGCAGTAGATTATCATCATATATTTTTTGAATAAATGAATGAGAAGGTGAAGACTGTCTTTAGTCTCTTCTTCACCTCTTTTCCATGCACCCCCTAGGTGGCTAATCTTAGTTGCTACTTAGCAATTTCCTACCCTGTTGCTCTCGGGCAGCTTCCTGTTCCCTGTTCCCATTAAGAACGGAGCCATCTTTTATCCCATTCTTTCTAGTTTATAAGAACATAAACTATAAAACCAGTTAACATTTATTAATTATGTACTATGCATTAGGTACTTATCATATTAAATCCTTATAGCAATGTAAAGGTTTAGGATTATTATTTCCATTTACAGATGAAAAAAACCAAAACCTTAAAAATTACATGACTTACACAACTAGAAAGTGTGGGGTCTGGCATCCTATCCCAGATTTATCTGACTCCTGAAGTTGAAGGCCGTACTTGCTGAACTCTCCTGCCTCCACACAAAGCTGACAGTGACTGCCAAGAGTTTATTTTTTTACTCAACCCTCCCAGAAGACACTTGAATTTTAATAAGGTCTTTCAACACTTTAGCCCAACAATTTTCAAAGTGAAGTCCATGGGCCTCTGGAGTCCTTAAGAAACTTTTAGGAGGTCTTCAAAGTCACAACTATTTTCATAATAATACTAAGATGTCATCTGCCATTCTCACTGAGTTAACATTTGCACTGATGATGCAGAAGCAACTGTAGACATAACTGCTGCCACTTTAGAACAAATCAAGGCAGGATACCCAACTATCATTGCATACTTCAACACCACACACTCAGAGGAAAAATAAAAAGGCAGTTTTCTTAAGATTATCTATGATGAAGCTATATTATTAGTTTTGTTAAAATCCCAACCCTGAGTACACACATATCTTTTTTAAAAATTTATTTATTTGAGAGAGAGAGAGCACACAAAGGGAAAGCAGAGGGAGAGGGAGAGAGAGAAACGTCAGCAGATTCCATGCTGAGTGCACAGCCCAACACAGGGCTCAATCCCATGACCCTGAGATCACCACCTGAGCTGAAACCAAGAGTCGGACGCTTAACCAACTGTGCCACCCAGGTACCCTAAATACACATGTTTTTAGTACTTTCTGTGACAAAATGGGAAGCACACATAAAACACATTTGAGGCACACCAAATTCTCAAGAAAAAGCACTTGTGAGATTTTTTTTGAGCTGTGAACTAAACCAGCCACTTTTGCCATGGAACACCATCTTTTCTTGAAAAATTGACTGGCAGACAAACTGGTTATTCAGACTTGAGTATCTGGCAGACATTTTCTCAAAAATGAACAAAGTGAGTCTGTCATTTCAAGGTAAACCGCTGACACTATCTGATTTCAATGATAAAATGTGAGCTTTTGGTGAAAATTAGAATTTTAAAAAATTTTACCTGCCACCATGAGCTTGACAAGTTTCCAATACTTAAAGACTTTTCTGATAAGATCAGTGGTGATATTAATAGATGTGAGTTTTTTTATATTGTATAATGAAATGTATCAACATTTGGAAGGGGCGCCTAGGTGGCTCAGTCGTTAAGTGTCTGCCTTCAGCTCAGGTCATGATCCCAGGGTCCTGGGATCGAGCCCCACATTGGGCTCTCTGCTCAGCGGGAAGCCTGCTTCTCTCTCTCCCACTCCCCCTGCTTGTGTTCCCTCTCTCACTGTGTCTCCCTCTGTTAAATAAATAAAATGTTTAAAAAAAAATTGAAAGATCTGCATAACTCAGTGAATCAATATTTCCCAAATGATTAATATATGATATTACAGAACCATGCATGGGTAAAAGATCCATTCAAAGTGCAGGACAGATCAATGGATTTTAATGTAATAGAGTATGAAAAGTTCATTGATATGGGGTCAGGTGCCATACTACAACTAACCTGTTTTGGTGTACTAAAAAAAAAATCACCACAGTTATCTAAAAAGTCTGTTGAAGTACTCCTCCCTTGCCTAATTACATACTGTGTGAGGTGGGATTTTCTTCATAACCTTCATCCCAAATAACATATCACAACAGATTGAAAGCAGAAGCAGATCTTAGAATCCAGCTGCCTTCTATTAAGCCAGACATTAAAGAGATTTTCGAAAATGTAAAACAGCGACAAGTCTTCTCAACCAAAAATATTTGTTTTAGAAAATATATTTATTTTTCAGAAAAATATTATGTTAATATATGATGGTGTATTGTTATTTTTTTTTAAAGATTTATTTATTTATTTATTTGACAGAGAGAGACACAGTGAGAGCAGGAACACAAGCAGGGGCAGTGGGAGAGAGAGAAGCAAGCTTCCGGCAGAGCAGGGAGCCCGATGCGGGGCTCGATCCCAGGACTCTGGGATCATGACCTGAGCCGAAGGCAGACGCTTAACGACTGAGCCACCCAGGCGCCCCGGTGTATTGTTATTTTAAAAGAAATTAATGAACTGAAGTTTTAAAATTTTCTCAGTTTTAATTTCCAATATGGTAAATATTGAGAGGTATAACTCACACAAACAAAAGCTCTTTGGGATCCTCCATTATTTTTTCAAGAGTATAAATGAGATTTGAGACCAAAATGTTTGTGAACCATTGCTTTAATGCAAGGAAGTGATAATTTGAGTATTTCTGATAAACCAGTGGACTGGGCATTGAGCAAGAGGACTTTTTATCCTCTCTTTAAAAACCAAATGTACAATCTATGCATATTCCTCTGAGACAGCTTGCTCCAGGAAATCCCCAATCAAGACTTCGGGTTGCATGCTCTCCCTACATTACCATTTCACAGTGCCAGTTAAATCTTTGCTCAGGCAAAAGCTCAGCATGGCATGCATTTAATTCAGATTTTTTCATGGATCATGACCTTTCAACTATAGGAGTCAGCAAAGGGAGGGGATTTCTATATAGTACCACTGGGAGGGTATCTTTCACCCCCAATGTGAATCTTAGTCCAAGAACATTTCTTGGCAGGTTCTGAGAGTCTGTATCTAATTAATCACCTCTTCAGACACTCGAGTGGACAGCCCTTGGGGCAGGAAGGGAGAGGCCTGGGAGGCAAAGCAGAATAAACATCTTAATCCAAATCAAGACTGACGCCAGCTGTCCAGGCTGTCTTGTGGCCACAGCTCACAGGGCTGCTGCCTCTACTTTATCCCTTGAAAGTGCCTCCTTCCCTCTCCTTCCCACGCAAGCAGCCAGTCCAGTGTATGAATTTGTGGGCTGGATTCTAATTGCTAGCTGTGCTGGGAAGCCCGCCTCCCTCTAATTCAGCCTTGACACAAATAGCTAGAAAGTTCACTTGCAAAGCCCACAGCAATGCCCTTGGGGGTTCCCTTCTAGAGAGAGAACTTCTATTCCTTTCAAGTCAACAGCTACTTACCAAGCACCTATTTGATACTTAGCACACCCTGTGAAAAATGAATCTGAAAAACAAATTTGACAGAATCATAGAGGCTTAGAGTTTCTAGGTTTCTCATCATAGCTCTACTCTCCCACAGGGCCCACCAGCCTGTACTTGGACCACTTCAGTGATGAAGACCTGGCTGCCTCTTCAAGCATTTTTAGCGAGCTTTAGTTGGTAGAAAATTCTTTCTGCTTCTCTAGGAGAGGCAGCATAGCACAGTGGTTAAGGCACATAAACCTGGGTTTTAATCCCATCTCAGTCACTTAATGATCTTGAGCAAGTTGCTTTATCTATCTATGCCTGTGTCCTTATCTGTAAGAAGGGAATAACAATACCCATCACACGCTGTTGTTGTGTTAAAATAAACTATATTTGTGAAATATATTGCCCAAGTCCTGGCACAAGTTAAGTGCTTATTAAGCCAGTTCCATCATGTAGTCACCTTTGACCTTTAGCAAATTTCTTAATTCAGATCCTTTTGTAACTGAAATAGTATCTACAACTTAGGGGTTGTCAGGATGCATCCCTCATTAGGAACTTACTAGTTTTAGGACATTGGGCAAGTTATTTTAATCTTTTAAGCTAGAATTTTTTTTTTTATCTGTAAATAGAGGTAGCAGTGCTTGCTACCTAAAGGGGTTTTGTGAGAAATAGAGTATATAAGATACATTTTAATTCTGTGCTTGGTAAACAGTAGACTTAATTAGCATTCACTTCCATCCATTTGTCCTGAGAAATGTCTCCCTTGCATGGTCTTTTGTCCACTATTTAGATCTATACAGACTAAGTCAAATCTTTCTTCCAGTTGGATCCTTCATTATAATGTTTCCCGTGTGTTTTCTTTCCTCTGGTGTATACTTATCCAGTATCTTCAAAGCATTTCTTGCATAATGTTTGAGCTTTTTACCATCCTGGGAATGTTTCCCAGATGACCTCTAGTTTGTCAAGGTTCTTTTCAAAATATGATGTTCAGAATTAAATGTGAAATTCCAGGTGAAGATTGACCAGCCCGGAACAGTTTGAAACCATCATCTTCATTGTGTATGATGCTGAATTTCTTCGAGTGGGACCCAAGATTAAGTGGTAGACTTGCCATATTATTAATTCATATTGAGCTTGTAGTCAACTTAAGTCATAGTATTTAACTGCTGTTAAAACATGTCTCTCCTATTCCATACTCATGAAGTTTAATTTAAGAAAGAAAAAACATGAAACACCTCACAACTTTGTGTGTCATTCTTGCACAGGAGTTGGGCTAACCTTCTCTCTATCATTCCAGTATCAGTATATGTGCTGTTGAAGTGAGTATGTTTAATTTTTTTAATCATAAATATAGGATTTTTTCTTGATCTCTGATAAAACTGGTTTCATTATTTTGACTCATTCTTCTTACCTATTTCTTTTAAAATAAATCCAGATTTTGACATCCCGCATATTGCCTACTTGTTGCATTCTCTGCTAACATATTTAATCAGAATGTCCTTTATTTAATTTAATTAAATTGTTGAAGAAGATAGGCCAAGTCAGAGCTCTGTACGGTGAAAGAGAGCACACTCCACCCCCATCCAGGTGGATTTTGATCAACATTATGAAGGTCTGGTCAGTTAAGTGCCTATAAACTTTCTGTATTGTAATACCATCCAGCTTTCAGTTCTTTACCATTTTACATACTCCATGCTTACAAAATGGTGAAATAAAGTGATCTCCCTTCTCTATGGCCCAGGGGAAAGCATATAGCTGAGAACACTGATTCAAATCTTTGTTCTTTAACACACTTATTGGGTGTCATGTGGAAAATTACTTAAACTTACCCTTGATTTTCCCATATGCAAAAAAGACAACACTATTACATTCCTCACTGTTTACTGAGAATATTAAGAATGGTGATAATTAGAATAAATCCTCCATAAAATGTAAATATTGCTTATTTCAGTAACTGGACTGGAACACAGATTATCTTTGTATATGTTTTAAACATACAGATGAAGAAAAGAGGCTCAGAGAAGTAAAGTAGCACCAAGATTCAAACTCACATCTGTTTTGCTTAAAAATACATTATCTTTCCACAATGTTATGCAGCCTCACTGAGAATTATCTGTATAAAGTGCTTTCTGTTATAAAATCCCAGATTGATATGAATTGTGATAATTTAGTTTACCAGTTAGAAAAGACAATTAGGTTCATTTAGCATAATTTGTCCTCCGTGAATGCAAGTGGCCTCTGGTGATCACAAATTCTCCTTTTTATATACTCACAAATCACCTTTCAATAATCTTTTTGCTAGTTTTCTTTTCTTTCTTTTTTTTTACTTTAGTACAATAGGTTTATAAATTCTAGAATCATCCCTTCTTTCTTAGAAAAGCTCTAAATATTTATCCTTCTCCAGGTTTCTGGTACTTCTCACATTGAGAAATATGCCATGTTATTTTGTGTGGGGTTTTTTTTTTGTTTTTGCCTACAAAATGCTTACATATAACTGAGAAACTAGACAATAGGTAAAGAGTTACACAAAATATAGTCAGGTATTAAAATGAATGACAGAAATCAAGAATTGTCCTAGATGGTCAAGAAAGTGATCAAATATGAGCTACAGGTATCAGCAAAGACCTCATGGTAAGGACTGTAATTCTAGACTCCAAAGGATCAGTACTTGATTTTTGAATTTTCCATAATCAAGCAAGGAAGCACTGATTGTGTTCCTTGAAGATTCCAGGAATCTGTTTTCACTTTCCTATGCTTACTTGGGCTCCTTCTATCTGCACTGGTACCAAGTAGCAGTGCCAACTGTCAGAGCTAACTAGTTCACTTCTGTTGACCTCTGATCCATGAATTCAAATACACTTTGCTGAGAGAATCATCAGAAGAGCCTGGGGGGAAACCTGTGTTGACTAAAAGCACGTGGAGTAGTTATTGCCCAGAATTCCTTAAAAAAAAAAAAATGGAGCTACAAAAAGTCCTGGCACTTTGGCCCAAAGTCTGTAGGTTTTTAATTTATTTATATTACAAACATGTATTCAACACTTACTCAATATTGGGCACTGGGCTAAATGTTGGAGATAAAAAGTCAAACTCAACATGTCCTCTAGGAAGTTTCTCATAGAAGATGAAAACTCAACTTTTTAGTTGAATTTTGAGGAACCATCTGCTATTAGTTGGATGAAAATGTGAACAGAGGTAAGGTATACCAGAGAGTGGAAACAGGTAAGGGAAAGCAAGCAGAGAAGCATAAAAAACCTGTCAAATTTGGGAAACTAAAAATGCTTTTAGGTGATTAGACAGTACATTGACTGTGAGGGAGTGATGGGGGCAAAGATAGAGGAGTGGTCAGGAGCCAGATGGTGAAGAATTTTGGTTGCTAAGATAGGGAGTTTGAACTCTTATCCTGGAAGTTGTGGTGGCCCACTGAAGGAATTTAATAGGCAGAATGAAATGACTATAACTATGCTTTATTTTTTTATTATGTTATGTTAGTCACCATACAGTACATCATTAATTTTTTATGTAGTGTTCTATGATTCATTGTTTGCATATAACACCCAGTGCTTTATTTTTGTTTTTTGTTTTAAGATTTTATTTATTTATTTGAGAGAGAGAGAATGAAAGATAGAGAGCATGAGAGGGAAGAGGGTCAGAGGGAGAAGCAGACTCCCTGCTGAGTGGGGAGCCCAATGCGGGACTCGATCCCGGGACTCCAGGATCCTGACCTGAGCCGAAGGCAGTCGCTTAACCAACTGAGCTACCCAGGCACCCTAACACCCAGTGCTTTAAAAAGATGGCTTTTATTAGAGGTGTGTAGAGTAAATGGGAAAAAAACCATTCTGAAACCCAGAGAGTCCAGAGAGGCTGTGGCAGTAATCAGGTTAGAAGCAATGGCTACTGACTAGAGCAGTGACCATTAATGGGAATCAAATAGAGGGAACAAATGCAAATGATATTAAAGGAAGTAGAATTCAAGTCCTCTGTGACAAGAAGAATGACATGGGAAGAAAGGGGTAATAGTTAAGAGTCTAGGGCAATGCTCACATTTCTTATATGGCTCATTGTATTGCTTATGGTTCCTTTCATTGAGGTGGGGCATGAAGTGGGAAGATCAATTTTTGGGTGGTAAGATGATGAGTTCAGTCTTTGACATATTAAGGTTTGGGGAGGGAGGAAAAGATGGCAGAGGAGTAGGGGACCCTATTCTAAACAGTCCCCAGAATTGAGCTGGATATCTACTAGACCACTCAACACCCACGAAATCAGCCTGAGATGTAAGAAGGTATATCTGGATCTCTACAAACAGAATATCACAGGCAGTTGGCTTCGAGGTAAGAAGCAGGGAGCTGTGATTCCACAGGCAGATATCAGAAGATAAACGGAAAGGGGAGGGAGCCTTCAGGATTCTGCACTGCCAGAGCATGAAAGCCTCCTGTGCTGGGGAACGGGCACAGACTCGCAGACCAGTAGCAATGGGGAATAGACTTTAAGGCAGCCCCCTGGGCTGAAACCTGGAGCGGTGGGGCTGTACATGTGAACTGGGGGCAGCTGGTGGTTTTAGAAGTACAAAGGGAAGAGACGTGCCCCAACCTGGAGGCGAGGACTGAGAGTGTTGCTGAGGGGCACACAACCCAGGACACTGCAGTTTTTAGCAGTACAGACAGAAACGATCTCTCTGTTCTGAGGCAGAGGGTTGGAAACAGTCTCTTCTGCTCTGACTCTCGAAAGAGATGCAGAAAGCCGCCAGAGAACAAAAGCCCCCAAAAAACGGTTTTCACTGAGCCCATTTCCCCCCCACACACAGGGGTAGGGCAACTCTGCCTGAACAGGGTTGCCTGAGTAACAGCTTGGCAGGCCTCTCCCATAGAATACAGGCTGGGAGAACAAGAGGCCGGCAACCCTAAGGTCCCTATTAAACAGATGCATCTTGCTTGGGTTGTAGTCAATAATTTGGACTCTGTACATTCCCTCAACCACCCCTCAACAGAATAACTAGGAGGAGGAACCCCCAAAATAGGAAAGACTCAGAGACTTTGACTTCTGCCACAGATTTACAAATGGGTACAGATATAACCAAGATGTGGGAAATGGACTTCAGGGTAACAGTTATGAAGACGATAGCTAGAATGGAGAAATTGATTAATGGCAACATAGAGTCTCTAAGGGTAGAAATGAAAGCTGAACTGGCAGAACTTAAAAATGCTATCAATGAGATCCACTCTAATCCAGATACTCTAACAACTAGAGTAAATGAGGAAGAAGAACGAATTAGTGATCTAGAAGACAAACTGGTAGAAGAGAAGGGAAAAGGGGAGGCCTGGGAGAAACACCTTAAAATCCATAAAAACAGAATTAGAGACATAAGTGACACCATGAAACTTTCCAATGTCAGAATTACTGGGATCCCTGAGGGGGTGGAGAGAGAGAGAGGACTAGAAGATATATTTGAGCAAATCATAGCTGAGAACTTACCTAATCAGGGGAATGAAATAAACATTTGTGTCCTAGAGGCAGAGAGGAACCCTCACATGATCAAGGAAAACAGAGCAATGCCCCGACATGTAATAGTAAAACTCACAAATCTTAGAACCAAGGAAACCATCTTAAGGGCAGTTAAGGGGGAGAGGTTCCTTACTTACAGAGGGAGGAACATCAGGATAACGTCAGACCTATCCATAGAGACATGGCAAGCCAGAAAGGGCTAGCAAGACATATTCAGGGTACTAAATGAGAAGAACATGCAGCCAAGAATACTTTATCCAGCAAGGCTGTCATTTAGAATGGATGGAGAAATGCAAAGCTTCGAAGACCAGCAGAAACTGAAAGAATATGTGACCACTAAGCCAGCCCTGCAAGAAATATTAAGGGGGGTTCTGTAAAAGGAGAAAGACCCCAAGAGTGATATAGAACAGAAATTTACAGAGACAATCTACAGAAACAAGGACTTCACAGGCAACATGATGACAACAAGTTCATATCTTTCAATAATCACTCTCAATGTGAACGGCCTAAATGCTCCCATAAAATGGCACAAGGTTGCAGATTGGATAAAAAGACAGGACCCATCCATATCCTGTCTACAAGAGACTCATTTTGAACCTAAAGATACATCCAGACTGAAAGTGCAGGGATGGAGTTCCATCTTCCATGCCAATGGACCTCAAAAGAAAGCTGGGATAGCAATTCTTATATCAGGCAAATTAGATTTTAAGCTAAAGACTGTAGTTAGAGACACAGAAGGACACAATATCATTCTTAAATGGTCTATCCAACCAGAAGATCTAACAATTGTAAATATCTATGCCCCCAACGTGGGAGCAGCCAACCACA